GCAGCTAAATGAACACAAATTAAGAAGGGTTTTGGGAACTGCTTTTGTCTACTTGTACCATATTGGGTCCTCCAGAGAAAGAGTGCATTCTGAGGTAAATCTGATACTCCATAACTTTCTTTTGGCATTTTCCATTTTTGCTTCCTTATTGTGTAGGTGAGTGTGTTGAGAAAGATTGTGATGATGGTATAAATCAGAATGTGGAAATTGGAAACAATATCATTAATATCACACTCACGTAAAATTTTACTGAAAATAATTAAAAAACATTTGCAGCAGTATATGTAAATATATGTCCAGAAATTCAAATTGGATTCAAAAAGAGGGTATGGAACAAGAGATATCATTGTTAATGTCAGATGGATTTTGGCTGAAAGCAAAGAATACCAGAAAGGTAGTTTACTTGGGTTTTATGGACTATGCAAAGACATTCAAGTATGTGGATCATACCAAAATATAGATGACATTGAGAAGAATGGGAATTTCAGAACACCTAATTGTGCTCATGAAGAGCCTGTGCTTAGACTCAGAGGCTATTGTTCAAATGCAACAAGGGTATACTGTGTGGTTTAAAATCAGGAAAAGGATGCATCAGGGCTATATCTTTGACCATACTTATTTGGTCTGTGTGCTGAGTAAATAATCCAAGATTCTGGATTATATGAATAAGAACACAGTATCCGTATTGGAGGGAGACTCATTAACAATCTGGGATATGCGTATGACAGAACTTTACTTCCTGAAAGTGAAGATGACTTGAAGCACTTACTGATGAAGATCAAAGACTACAGTCTTCAGTGTGGATTACACTTCAACATAACCAAACTCAAAACCCACTGTCATTGAGTCAATTCCGACTCATAGCGATCCCCTTTAGGTTTCTGAGGCAGGGAATCTGGTGGGTTTGGACCAACAACCTCTGGTTAGCAGTCTAATGTCTTAGGCACTGTGCCACCAGATCACCTTACTTCAACATTAAAACAAACAAACAAACAAAAAACTTACTTCAACATAAAGAAAACAAAAATTCCTCACAACTGGGCCAATAAGCAACATGACAATAAATGAGGAAAAGATTGAAGTTGTCATTGATTTCATTTTACATGGATCGACAATCAATCAACACTCAGTGAAACAGCACTCAAGAAATTAGAAGGCATATTGAACTGTGCATATCTGCTGAAAAGGACCTCTTTTAAGTGTTAAAAACTAAAGATGTTACTTTGAAGATTGTGGTGTGCACAACACAAGCTATGGTATTTTCAATTGTATCATATACCTGTGAAATCTAGTCATTGAATAAGGAAGACTGAAGAAGAATTCATGCCTTTGAATTGTAGTGTGGGCAAAGCATACTGAAAGTACCAGGGACTACCAGAAAAACAAATCAGTTCTGGATGAATTCAGTTGGAAGGCTCCTTAGAAAGGACAATGGGCAGACATCATCACACCTATTTTGGTATGTTGTCAGAAGGGACCTGCCCTTTGAAATGGATATTATGCTTGGTAAAATGGAGGCTCAGAGGGAAAAGTGGAGGACTCTTAAAGAGATGGGTCAACACAGTGATGCAACAAAGACTCAAACGTAGCAAGTGTTACGAGGACTGTGCAGGCTCAGCAGTGTTTCTTTCTTTTGCACATAAGGTCACTATGAGTCGGAATTGACTTGATAGCACCTAAGAACAACAATAACAACAATGGTATAAATACTGCCACCATCTTGTCCAGGGGGAAAGTGCTGGATGAATGTGTATATATGAATATACATAGTGTACAAGGACCAAAGGATAAGATGACTGACTCAATGATGTTAGAGGTGCAACTGAAAAGTTTTTGTTCTTTTTTCCCCTCTTTTCTACACTGTGGTTTCTCAGTAAACGCAAGATAAAAATTTATGAGACCATCAGAAACAAGAAATTCCTCAAAAAAATGACCAGGCTATTGGACACCAACAATAGGTTGGTGCTCTACAAAAAAACCAAAAACCAAACTCATTGCCATGGAGTCGCATCCAACTCACAGCAACCCCGCCTTGGGTTTCCAAGGTGGTGTCACTCTGGAAGTAGATTGTCCAACCTTCCTTCAAAGGAGTGGCTGGTGGGTTTGAACTGCCAGCCTTGTGGTTACCAGCCAAGCGTCTTAGGTACTAAATTACCAGAGCTAGGATGTCTATAATTAAAAAAAAAAAAAAAAAGGAAACAACAAATGCATTTAAGCTTGACCTAAGTTACCTTGAAAATGGATGAAAACTTCAATTTAAATAAGAAAAAAAAGGAGTTTATTTTATTTTAAATGTTTGGATGTTTCGTCATTGCTTGATAATTTCTTTTAGAATGATTAACACAAGGCTGGTGCCTATGAGGTGGAGGGTAACTATGTCTCAGATGCACAGTTTTTCCAAACTGCTGGACCACTCCATCGTCTCTAACAAAAAATCCTCTGCCTCCTTTCAGAATTCTCCTTTCAGTCTTAGCGTTCTGGATTTAGCTGTAACATCTCACAGAACTCATGATCACAATCTGCCGAGGAAGTGGCTCATGTGGTGGTAGAGCCAGGCAAGTCCCAAATCTGTGAATTATGCGCTGGTCTGGAGTACTCTCCTCACTCATGTGGTTGCAGGGTCTGACAAACCCACATCTGTAAGTTACATGATTGGCTGCTGTCTCAAGTTCCAAGAACCTTGTATAAGATGATGACAAAACAGATGTAGGATCCAGAGCAAGAGAGAGAATTTTGCCAGAACATTCCCATATATACCCTCAAGGAAACAAACTAAGTGTGGTGACTTGAGTCTTACTCTCCAGTAAGGCAGGATTCAAGATACATCCCACTCTAAACAGGCATAGAGGTGAGGATTTACAATACAATACAAAATGGAGGACTATGACTAGAAGGGCCATACTATTTAATTTACTGCAGTGCAATCATTTACCATAGAACTTACATTAAAAACCTTAACATCATATGTTTGAAGCAATTCAAAAGGATGAAAACAAAGTATATTTGGAATACTAAAGCAATAAGCAAGTTAAACAACAAGAGCAAGAACAACAACAACAACAAAAAACAGTTTTCTTGTTCTTGGTCATTTCCTTCTCTGGAGACTGAGCTCCTTGGGTCAGGACTGATATGAGAAAACTTTGTGGAAAGGGGTGAGTTTATAAAATCACGGGTGGATACTTGAGTAGTCTTTCATGTTCCCCTTCTCAACTTTTGACAGTCATGAGTCTGGCGACTTTAATTTTCTTAGCTCTCTCACACATGCAGCATCAATACTATTTCCCCCATTCTCCCGTGTATTACAAAGAAATGAAAGAAGGAATTTTGTGAAGAAAATTATCAAATGGATAACATTTCCTTATTCCATGGTTTTCTAAATTCAGTGCCATTTCTGCCCTCTTTGGGCTGGTTATCAATGTAGATGGAAAAATATATGCAAAAGTAGGCACTTTAGATTCATTGATCCACAAATTAGTTTAGCCCTAACAGCAACAAATGTCCTCTACTCTCAGTGCTTTTAAACCCAAGTTCCCTGAATACATAAAAATTACCAGAGGAGCTTGTTAAATATGTAGATTTTTATATACCCCTTAACCCTGGCCTACTGAGTAAGAATCTCTTGGAATAGGTTCTGCAATCTGTTTAAAAATCTCTCAGGGTGATTCCGTGATCAGGCAAGCTTGAGAAGCACTCACCTAGTCCTCAGATTAAAATTGTGGTGCCGGAGGCTTACAGAGACCTAGTGAGCATATGTCCAATGTTGAATAATAATAACTATGGATTTACATGGTCCCAGGACAACACTTTCTTAACTATAATTTCTAACTCAGATATCTTGGTACTTTTTGAAACCTTTCTTCTCCTTATTTCTGTGATTGTATCAACATCAGAAAGCATTTTTAAGTACTAAGTAATTATATTCCTTAATGTGAGAAATATTTGCACATACACACAACTACTTGAAACCACCAACAGGCGTAAGGGATATACATAATATACACAATAACTGGATCATCAGAATTGTGGAATAGGATATGAAACAATAGCAGGAAGAAAATCAGTATTATGTCTACCTGCAGCAGAAAAAAGTCCAGGTTGCATTCCAAGGGAAAAGAGAAAAATATTACCGAGAGGAGTTACCAGTTCACAAAAGCAAGATTTTTGTTTGTTTGACCAGAATGATTCTTTCTGGAATATACGGATGAAGATTTGGATAGTTAAACCAAAGAAGCAATGGAAAATGACTCAGTGTAATAAGTAAAATTATTTGGTCAAACGTGGGGGAAATAGATGAATTAATACAAATTTTATATACCCAGGACTGAATCACAGTCACATATTCATCACACGTGGCTGTGGTTTTCTTTTCATTCCCTTTCTGGAACTTCTTCTCTTCTTCTGTTAATATTTAACATTAACAGTGAGTTTGGCTACAAATTCCAGATATAGATTAGAGTTAGTTAACAGCAGCATACTCATAGGCTACTACAATTAAAACATTGTTTACATGTCCAATAGCTTTATCTCTTTGCCCAAAGAAAATGAGTCCGATACAAAAGAAAAGTAGTTTTCTTTTTTATCCCCTAAAGAAAAGGTTGAGAACATGTTTTTATCCCTTTCAATCTGCCTATCTTCCCTTTCTAATTCAAGCTTTTGGATTTAGTTTTCAAAAGAATTTACCTTTTGGGAGTACTCATATTGCATAATTTAGCTGAGATACTTGCTAATTTTTGCACACTCATTTTTTTAATATATAGCATATGCATATAGCATAGGCATATAGCATAGGCATATAGCATAGGCATATAGCATACACATACTAAGTTCTTATGCTTAACCAATTACCTTTTTTAAAAAAATTGTCAAAAATGGGGAGAAGAAACAGTATTTCTTTCTCCTAACAATTGTTCAAGGTAACTATTACTTCTTCAGTAAATAGACGGGTTAAACAAGACTGAAAAAAATTAAAATCAACCAGTTTAAAGTATCATGACTTCAAATTATTTGTCATTAGCCTCCCAGGAAACCTTCCTACACCATAGTTTCTTCATTGCATTTTTTACTTCTGTGTTTCTCAGTGTATAAATCAGGGGATTTAACATGGGGGTGATAATTGTATAAAATACAGCCACCATCTTATCCTCAGCAAAAGTAGTATCAGGGCGCATGTACATGAAAGTACAGGGACCAAAAAAGATGACTACCACAGCAATATGGGAGCCACAAGTGGAGAGAGCTTTGCGCCTGCCTTCTGCTGACTGCTTTCTCAGGGACACCAGGATGACAGTGTAGGACATTAACAAGATTACAAAACTCCCCAGAGCGATGGTCCCACTGTTGGCTGTCACAACAACACCAACAACATGTGTGTCCGTGCAGGCCAGTTTCAGCACAGGGTGGACGTCGCAAAAGTAGTGGTCGATCTCATTGGGTCCACAAAAAGGGAGCTGGACCACCAAAGCCACCTGGATAATCGAGTGTAAGAATCCACCTACCCATGTCACCAGCAACATTTTATTGCACCTATTCCGGTCCATGATGGTCATGTAGTGGAGAGGTTTACAGATGGCCACATACCGATCATAGGCCATTACAGTAAGGATGAAGATCTCAGTACAACCAAAGAAATGTACCCCAAAGAGTTGCAAAATACACCCCACATAGGAGATAGTTTTTCTCTTGGCTAATAGGTCAACAATCATCTTGGGAGCTGTAACTGAGGAGTAACAGATGTCCACAAAAGACAAATAGTTCAGAAAGAAATACATAGGAGCCTTGAAAAGGTTGCCCATGCACACTGTCAGCATGATGAGAAGGTTTCCCAGAAGAATAACTGTGTAGAAGAAAGAAAACACCACAAAACAAACTTCTTCCACCTCTGGGTTCTGAGAAAGTCCCCAGAAAATGAAAACAGTTACATTGTTTATTTTTTCCATGGAATTAGTCCAGCAGGCAAAATTCCCAAAAGACAAATAAATTGTCTAAAAAAAAAAAAAATTAGAAAGGACCAGCAACATTATTTCTATTGTAGACAAAAATGGATAATCATAGCAGTTGAAAATAGATAATAGGTGCTTACAGCTATTAGGTACGCATAGTCAGAGAAACTGAATTGTATATATTCTGACCATAATCCTTCATAAAACAGTCCACTCATTCATTTCAGATGAACAAACATCCAGAGAGAGCAAACAAACCCCTAAATCACACAGCAAGAAAAGATTTCCATCTCTCTTGCTGTTTTTTAAGATTTATCCATTTACTTTTAAACATTTGCTTAGTTATTATTCTGTATAGGAATTAAATGTGATTTTGAAAAAAAAAGAAAGAAATTACATTGTTTGTGGTCCTTGAAAGGACCTCTGGTGGTGCAGTGCTTAAAGCATTTGACTGCTAACCAGAAGGTTAGCAGTTCAAACCCACCAGGTACTCCGTGGAAGGAAGCCCAGGCAACCTACTTCCGTAAAGATTTACCACGTTGGAAACCCAATGGGGGTTGCTATGTGTTGGAACTGACTTGATGGCAGTGCATTTGGGTTTGGGGTTTGAGAGTGGTACAAAGAGTTAACATGGTCAGCTGCTAATCAGAAGGTTGAAAATTCAAGACCACACAGGAGCACACTGGAAGAAAACCTTGGCAATCTATTTATTTATTTATTTTTAATCAGCTATTGAAAGCCCTTGTTGTGATTAAGTGCCTTTGAGTCTACTCTGACTCATAGTGACCCATCCTTGGGTTTCTGAGGTGGTAGCTCTACAGAAGTAGGTTGCTCAGCCTTCCTTCCGAGGAGTGGCTGGTAGGTTTGAACCGCCAGCCTTCTGATTAGCAGTCAAGTGCCTTAGGCACTATGCTACCAGAGTTCCCAATATCTGCTTGAGCGTAATGCTCTTTTAAGAACTATGGCATCAAATTCACAAACCAACTCAAAATCTTAGAAATGAATCTTTTGTTGGATTAATTAATCTTTTGCTGTGTATATTCTCAACAATAAAAAAATAAAAAATAAAAAAAAATAATAAATTAAAAAGCCCTATGGAGCATAGTTATACTCTGATACACATGGGGAGATCCTAAATTGGACTTACCTCTGTGTCAACTGTTTGGTCTGTGTTTGGTACATAGTGACATTTGTATGTCTGGAGAGGTTCACCTCTTGTCTCACACAGAAATGAAGACCTAAATCTACAATCTCACTTTTGAATATGGACATGCCTATAGGAGTTCTGGTGGCATAGCCCCTAAGGCATTTGACTGCTAACCAGTAAGCTCAAGCAGTAGAGACTGGGTGACCTAAGCAAGTTCTGACACTTATGAAACTTGGATCTATATGGGTGTGTGTTTATGTCATACTCCTTGACCTGAAGCTCTTTAAAGTCAGGTATGGTGTGCTGTAGCAGAAAGAGGACCAAAACTACAACATCCTGGCTCTTAACTAATGGTGCTATTGTTGCTACTCACTTTGTTAGGTTCCATATAGTCAATTTTAACTCCTAGAGATCCCATTTGCTGAATTGGTTCACATGAAATGGTTGTGTAACCTTGGTGTTCTGGTTACCTAGTGCCACTCTGACAGGACTATACCACAAACGGGATGGGCTTAAGGAACAGGAGTTTATTCTCTACAGTTTGGAGGCTTTAAGTCCAAGCTCAATGTGCCAGGCTCTAGGGGCTGGGTAAAAGCCCCTCAACCTTGGGGTCCAGTGCTGCCTCCTGCTCCCGGCCCACTGGAGCTAGAGGCATTTATTCATTCGTGCAGCTGCTGGCTGCTGATGCTGAAAAACCCAAGGTTGACAAATAAAATGGTACAGTCCCGATGTTACCAAACCACGCAGCAGTCCATTAATTTAAGTCCATTGTAAGTCCCAAAGTCTGTAGAGCATGGCAGGCTGCTGAACAATGACACAGCTACATGCAGGGTTCAAGTGTGCCATAAGCTTAAGACCATTCCCAAAGCTGCTTCTTATAAACAGGAAGCAGAACACATACCCAAAGCAGCTACTCAGCTGCTTGTGGTAGATCCTGCCATGGAGTTGATTGCCAGTCTCATCATGGGGAATAACTACCACCAGCTGCCCAGACACTCAACCAGACCCAGCCAAGTTGACGTGCAAACATAACCACCACACTTGGGTAAATCATTTAATATAATGGGGCTTCTGTTTCCCTATTTGTGAAATGAGAAAATCCCAATTGCTCTATTCTGTTTATCATGAACCAAAAAACACCACCAACAACCAAAGAAACCCACCAAACGCACTGCTATCAAGTCAATTCTGGCTCATTGCAACCCCCATTGAGTTTCTGAAGTGGTAAATCTTTACAGAAGTAGATTGACCCATCTTCCTTTCTCTGAGGAGCTGGTGGATTTAAACCACCAACCTTCAGGTTAGCAATCAAATATGCCTTAGCATTGCGCCATCAGAGCTCCTTCCTGTAAGGGTTATTTCTACCATGAATTGAAATCATTCTATCTGCTTAGAATAACGATATAACTAACTCCCTTGTAAGGAGTCAGAGGAGCTCTGGTGGCAAAGAAGTTAAAGCATTAGGCTGTTAATCAAAAGCTGAGTATTTCAAACCTAACAGCTTCTCCACAGTTGAAAAATGATGCAGTCAGCTTCCATAAAGATTTACATCCTTGGAAGCCCTACTGGCAGTTCTAATCTTTCCCATAGAGTAGCTATGAGGCAGTATTGACTCTATGGCACTGATTCTCTCCTTTTTTTCTTTTGGGTTAGAGAGGCAGAAATAAGTGAAGATATAAGGGACCTACTGGAAACAAAGCAATATCTATTTGATTCAAAAGGAGGTAAAATGAAGTCTCAGTTAATTTCTTCATCTTCAAACTCAGAGTATTTGAGGATTTCCCAGGCTTTACTTTGCTTTGATATTTCAATCACTTGTCTGTTGACCAAGAGGGGTGGGGGTTGGAAGTGAGAGAGGGGAAGAACCTTGACCTTTCATCTCATGACTCCTTCATGAATTCTTCTAACCCTGCAACTTTCATCATAGCTGATTTTTGTTCTCACAGTATTATTACTCACTCTGAAAAATTAAATATTTATGGAAGAAGTCATCACTGAAAGAGAATTTAAATGGGTATAAGTAGAGAATGAATGGAATTTAAATGATGCATCATTAAACTCAAAAGGAAAAACTCAGGCACTCTAGTGGTTCACTGGAGTGTTAAGATTGAAGGGGATAGGTGAGATGTTTAATTAATGGAACTTTTTCGGTATTTCCTTAAATCAAGCCGTAGATGTTAATGATTTCTCTAACTACAGGGTAGGGTAGGTTTACCCAGTATCTTAGACAATCGTTAGGAACTTTGTCTACCTGAGTGAGGCCACATCTCCTCAAGATCCCTGTAAGTTTAGTGCCTACAGCTCTTACTGAACTTTCAGCTCTCAGCTAATCCTTCATGACAACACTCCACCTGGCACGTCCAATTTTGGGAACCATGGGGCTTTGTCCTCATGTGTACAAATTAAAATTGTTGGAGTACTCATTACAGGTTTGCCTTCTCTTGTGCAATACAAAATAATGATAATCATAATAATAGTAATAATAATCATAATTCAGAATTTACACTTTCGTACCCTCCTCTGTTTTGCATGTTGGATCTCTTTGGTTTTCCTTTCAGATTACAAAAAAATGATAATAATTACTTTTCTCCCTGAAAGAGCCTGAATTAAGGGAGCTCAAATTATAGCAGTTTTCAGCAACTGTGAGTTATATTACTTGCATTTTATTCTAGAATAACTGGAAATTTAGCTCAGACCTGAATTCTGCAGCCATGATCCACACCAGAAGATCCTAGCGGAGTCCTCTTTGTCCTTGGATCAACATGCATCTCCAAGTATTCCTCACTCTCCTTTCTGTGCATGTCAACATGATAATCCCTCTCCTCCTTTAGACATGATAAAGCTTTTGACTGTCTATTTCTTAAAGCATATTCTTGCTAACATATCTCATAGTCATAAGTAGAAACCTTGCATTATCTTACAATCACCTCCTTAATAATTTAATTCTCCTCTTATTTCTAAGAACAATGTCTAGCAAATATATTAAAGATACTCAAAATACAGAAATTTGCCTGAATCATCAGTTTCCACAATCCTTCTATATTGATAAATTAGTCTTTGAAGGAAAAAAAAAAAAAATCTCACCGATATTTTCCCAGGCTTGTGTCTATTTTCCCAGGCTTGTGTCTATTTTCCAAGGTTTGTGTTCTGCTTTATTGTTCTATCTCTTCTTGTGATAATTTGAGAAAAGCTGACCAAAATAAACAATGCTAGTTTTAGGAATTGCCTCACGAATAATTGGTGCCAGAGAATATCTGACTCCAAAACTTTGATGGCTGATAGATGTCAATTTTCATTGCTTCTGTTTCTGTCCCTCACTTACTGAAATCTGCCATTTCTTAGTACCTTTTGTAACAAATGTTCCTTTCTCTACTCTTCTAAGCCTTATTTCAAGAGAATGATGTAAAATGTTAATGACCTTTGGGAAAGCCTTTCCCCAAAGTCTTCTTCCATAGTCAGAGCTGTACCACAGACTGAACAATAAACTTCAATTTCCAGCTGTTTTTTTCATTTCTTAAATAACCTTAAAAAAAAACAAAACAAAACAAAAACCTCTCTTTGCTAAATTTAAAGTGCAATCAGTTTTCTTTCACTTTTACAACTTTTAGGGGTAACCCTCATTCCTTGCCTCATGGACTTTTTTCTTCGTTGTGAAAGCCAGAAGCATACATCTTCAAATCTGTTTCTGATGCTGACATCCTGTTCTATGTCCCTCTTGCACTTTAAAGAGCCCTTGTGATTACATTGGTCTCACTTGGATTAACCACTATACTATCCTTATTTTAAGGTGCAGTGATTAGCAACATTAACTCCATCTGTAACCTTACTCCCTTTCTTATCATATAAAACA